TTTAACACAAGCGTCAAAAAACTGTACAGCTTCATGTGTTCTGTATGTAACATACTATATGTAATGGATAAATTTTGGGCGTAAAAAATTATTGGATTATTAAAAAATTTTTTTTTTCAGATTTCACTAACTGATATATTTGTTCTGTAGATTCGACATCGTTCTTTAATTGTAACAACAAATTACGCTCATATGCACATATATTAGTATAATTTGTCTCGACGTCGCAGGGTTGATTACTACTTGCAGCAGAGGCAAAAGTTTCGATGTTTTTCTAGATTTGGAGTTCGTCATACACCCAGTTGGTCGACATTGTTTGTATCTGCCCTGCATTGATGTCATCAAGCAGTGTCGGATCGAATGAGGCATAAGTTTATTTGTGTTTACTTGATTACCACCACACGTTAGTATTATATTTTGTAATGTGATTGGTGATTCGTATGGTGTCCCAATGTTGGTTGTCCCTCACCGTATTGTCCTTAAATGAGTGATTCTGTAGCCTGGTCCGTTAAGATGACCCACAAATTTCTAATCTTGTTATCTGAGCGAGCCAAAACTTTGCATGGTACTGCAATAAAAACAGCAGATTACCAGGAAATGTTGGACGACATATCATCAGTGGCTGGCAGGAGACTCAACGTTACACAATTAACCTCTACGTTCTTTCGCCTACGAAAAGTATATCAAGCATGGCGGAAATTGCTGTAACACATGGGGTTCGGGTGGGATAACGAGTCACAAAGTCCAACGTGTCCCGTTGAGGTTTGGCAAGAATATGTCAAGGTAAATTTTCATATTTTTTAACTAATATTATTCAACGACACCGTAATTGTACGCATTTTTTTTTTGGGACTACTAAATATTAATATATTATTCTTTTAACTTACCAGCAAAACCCACTGGCTCAACAATTTTACCACAAGGGACTTCCTCACAATGAGCTTTATGAAATCATATTTGAGAAGCAAACTGCCACTGGGAGATATGCGTACACATCTACTCAACCGATGGAGACCTCCACTTATTCCAATCAGGGTGCAGTTCCCATGGATGATAGCGACTTTGAACCTGATCCAGATTGGACGACAGAGGAAAAACGGCCAAACACATCTAGCCATGGAAGAGCGAGAAATAGGAGGAACAGAAGCGGCCCGGGACAATCACTTGCGGATGTCATTGGTAGATTGACGGACGAGCTTGTGTAGAAGCAGACTATGGGATCGAGGGCTAGCAATCGCAGTGCAGATGAAAGGGACGAAAAGAACACCAATGCTCCATCTGATCCTTTTTCTATGAGCAATTGTATTGATATCATGACGGCCATGCAAGTACCGACACAGTTTTACCTACCGGTTGTCCAGTACTTATATGAAAATCTAGGGTGACAGGAGATATTCGTGAAACTCCAGCTCGAGGAAAATGCTAACTGGATTTATAACAACTTTCCCCAGTAAGTAGATGACACTATATTTCCTAAGTGTTTGGCAACAATTTTGTATGTGTCAATGAGCAGTTTTCATTACAATTACAATTTATAACGTTACTGTATGAACTTATTAATTATGGTACTGTTTTATGTGATATTACATGTTTAAACACCATTTTGGATTGTCATTAGAATTAAATATTGACTGTTATATTTTGCTAAGTAGTACATCAACTGTTAATTATTGATAAATGTTTTGCAAATGTGTAGGTTTAAATGGCGTCGTCTAGCCGTACAGGAAGAAGACGACGTGCTACAGATGACGAAGAAGAAATACTGATAGATATTGCCATTGCACTCTGCGGTGTTGCCGCATTAGAAGCAAGTGGGTGTGAACCATCCGTATTAACTGGTCATGAGTACATGTTGGAATTACTCAATGGTCATCCTGATAGGATCTATGACAAGTGCTGCATGGACAAAGACTGTTTTACATACTTATGTGAAATTTTATCCAATCAAGGCAAATTGCAACCAACCAGGAAGACGAGTTTGGAAGAACAAGTTATGATATTTCTAACAATCGTTGGAAAAAACGAGACAATGAGAACGATGATGGAGGATTTCCAACATTCAGGTGAGACGATCTCTAGACATGTTGGCGCAGTTTGTGACGCTATATGTGAGTTGAAGATAGAGTTTATCAGACCACCTGACTTCAATCATGTTCCATGGGAAATATCAGCCACCAGAAAATATTACCCTTTCTTTAAGGTATTGCTTCATTATGTTTTCTATTAGTGGATAGTTAAGTTCATTTTGTTATTAATTTTGATAGTCGGTTAATATGAGTAAAATTCAATTTTCATGATAGGACTGTATTGGAGCCATTGATGGCACACATGTATACGCTTCGATTCCACATGAATTTGCCGATAGGTACCGAAATCGCAAAGGAGTGTTGTCATAGAATGTAATGGTTGTATGCGACTTTAGGATGATGTTCACTTATGTCATTACTAGATGGGAAGGATCTACGCATGATTCAAGAGTTTTACATTCAATTCTTGATGATCCTACTTCTGGATTCCCACATCCTCCACCAGGTATAAGTATTTTCTTGATATATTATAGCGTATTTGCTCCACTGTTGAGGCCCTGTAATTCAAATAAAATGTCTGATATTATTACAGGGAAATACTATTTGGTTGATGCGGGTTATCCAAATAGAGATAGGTTCCTCGCCCCTCATAGGCGAGTGGCTTACCATATTTCTGATCACCGTCGTAACCGAAGGGGGCCACAAGAGTTGTTTAACTACAGACATGCTTCACTCCGCAATGTTGTCGAGAGAACCTTTGGTGTTTTGAAAAGATGGTTCGGTATTCTAAATGGAATGAACAATTACCCATTGGACAAACAAGGGAAGATTGTTATGGCATGTTGTGTACTTCATAATTTTATCAGAATGTACAATATGGATAACCGTATCTTCGAACAAACCAATAATAGTACAGGTAATGAGCAAATATATTGTGATCGTCAAAACGGGACAGAATATTGCCGAAATGGAGAAAGACCGAGTCAACTACAACAAGGTATTATAGACAACATAATGACTGTATGGGATAACATAACGAATGCATTGTGGGTAGCACAGTGGACCATGTCGTAGTTGTTAATGGAGTATACGTGTAAGAATGATTGTAAGGGTTGATAATTAGTATTTTTTTTTTTTTTTTTTTATTTTTTTTTTTTTAAATAGTTGGATTAGTACTTGAAATTAATATGAGTTTTTGTTTTTTAATATTTACGGGTGACAAAATTACCAATAAAATGTTTAATATTATTAAAATGTAACTTGATAAGTTATATATATAATAATACATTATTTTAACAAAATGCAACAAAATATTATATTAATAAATCAATTATAAAAAAATATATCAATCAAATATTCAACACAAATATCAAGGTCAAAATACTATACCAAACACATATTCTGCAAATCTTATTCTCATAATCATAACCCTACTCAACTACCCAATATTATTTCCAAAATTCTATCCAAAATAATGAACCAAACGCAACTTATAATACATTTAGTCCCAACTCCCAACCTATCTTTTTGAACAACTAATTAATGTTCGACATGTTTGTATTGATTATCTTTGGATTTGTGTATGATATTTAAATCTTCTCATAAACAATGATAATGAAGTTGTAATTTAAAATTAGAAAAATTATAAGAAATAATAATTTTAGTAGTCAAGTTTTATATAATCTAATGTTGTAGCATCTTGATCTTCAAAATTTGTTGTATTGTAATATGTCACAACAGGAGGCTATCTTCTATCTTGCCACCTTCGGGCTCAAGGGTTTTTCCCGTGCATCGGACATGTCCAAGGTATTGTCTATTATGAGTCGTTCTCGCCACGCCTCCTTCGGACCCTCATGGCTTTGCTTCGCTTCATTATCTTTTTTTCCACCTTGCAAATGCCTCCCCCATAACTTGAACCTTGGACTTATACCATGACCAAGTAATATGAGTACTATTAGGCTATACGATGATACTTAACTTGGGATGAAAACTTCGGAATTTTTTTTTTTTTTAATGACATTTTGAAATATAAAAATTTCACCATAAAATTACTAGCTAGATAATGTAATTATTTAAATGCAAATTTTGTCAGGAAGTTCTATGAAAATTTTGAGAAAAATTCCAAACAATTCATTGGCTCACAAAATCTTTCCTCCTCTTCCAAGAAGTTATTGGCAACTAATTACAGATCAGTCCTCTGTTTATGCAGAGAAGTCCTCTTGCATCCTATTGATGAATTTATCATACAAAATATTTTACAAACTCTGAAACAACAAAAGCTTTAGTTGAGTGGTTGATTTAAAATTTCGGTTTTTTGGGTTGTTGTTCCTCCTCCATGACTGAGCTTTCTTCACTACCATCGTTGAAATATAACTTAACTCCACACTTCTTCACATTGTAACTTTCTCCATTGAAATCAAAAGTAACAAACCTGGTTTTTGTTCTGCCCAACCGCATTGGATCAGAACGTATCAGCATTACATGATCCGACATAAGCCTGTAGCATTGAAATTTACGCCAGTAGGTATCCTCAAGGCTCCCCCCTGGCTTACCATATTGGTCTTTGCAAATCAACTTATAACGAACAGAAAAACATTCGGGAGTGTAGTCATGGTCTGAAAATGCTACAACAAGACACACAGTATAGCTTAGCAAGGCATCACTCTTAAGATAAGTGGGTGGTAGCTCCAAAGTTACAGAAGATCCCACATTTTGGAAGCTGAACCACTCTGGAATTTCATTTCCAGGTAAAAAGATGGCTCCTATAAAATCTTTTTTCTTTACCTAGAAAATCATTTAACAACAAAGAAATGTTAGAATATAAAATAAAAATCATTATATGAAGGAGAAGTTGACTATAAAAGTCATACCTTTTTCTCCATGGCTTTTGAGTATTTTCTGAGCATTATCCAGTTTTAAACAATTACCACAGTTGAGGTCCGCCACTGACAATAATTTTGAGTCAGAACATACCTCCAATGATGTACAATTGTATGCTTCAAGCTGACTAACACTTGATGGAAGTTTTGGTAACAATTTAAGCCTCTCACAATAGCTTATGTCCAGACTTTTCAACCAAGAATATTCGATGCTTGATGGTATTCATTCAAAATTGTTTCTACTTAGATTTAATCTTTCTAGAGAGCATAAGAGGCTCAGACTGTCGGGTAACCTCGTGATTTGACAATCAGATAAATCTAACTCCGATAGAGAGCTCAAATATGATAAAAGAGGCCATACTGAACCTACCATTAGATCTTGACCCCTATATCTGCTTAAGGACAATGTCTGAAGTCTGTTCAAATTTCCTAACTGCTGGGGCAAATTGACGAGCTTTGAGCAACCCGAGATACAAAGGTATGCAAGAGACTTCAACTCACAAATGGTGCTTGGGAGACTTTCAAGCCTTGAACAATCTTCAAGATTCAATTGAGATAGTCTTGATGAACATTCAATCAAGGGCAACTCTGTTATAGGTGTTCTATCAAAATATACGTAAATCATGCTAAATGTGATCTTTGGAACCGTCTTAAGATTTGAACAACCAGATAGAATTAGATGTGTAAGAAATTTTGAGTGAATGTCTGTGGGAAGACTACCAAGGCTTTTGCAACCTTTAAGATTCAACATAACCAACTTATTTAGACATTGAATTGATGAAGGAACCTCAATCAAACTTGTACAACCTTCTAGAATCAAACTCTCAAGATTTGGGATCATTGAGAGATTTGAAATTCTAAGGAGGTGCTTGGAATGCATAAGGTTAATATGCTTCAACTTCTCTAGATGCTGCAAACAATAAATTAAGGAGATGAGGAAGTAACATAAATTATATGATCAGCTTTATGATTTTCTATAAAAAAGAGAATATGAAGATAAATATTTATACCTGGAGACCATTCCAGAGTTGTTTAATGTTGCTACCAGGTATGATAAGTGCACAAAGATTTTCCGGCGCAAAATTTGATGGCAATGAATCCAAAGGATATCCAAACCATCGAAAATACCTTATGTTATGTGAACTGAATTCTAGGCCCTGCAAAGCACGCACCTTACTCACATTCTCTTCATCCAGTGAGCAATATGGACAGCCATCAACATTCTCATCTTTGTCTAATAAGAAGCATTGGCAATAAAAGTCGAACCATCTACTGCCATCCATGTCCCAGAATCTACATCCACTTTTCTTGGGGCAATAAAAGTCCAAGAATCTGAGGTTTTGCATATTTAAGAAAGCATTGCACTTTAAGTTTATCTCTTTTATTTTAGAAATATCCAAGGAGACGCATTCAATTGCTTCAGTTCCCTAACAATCAAATGACAATGAATTAGACTCTTAAATAAGTGTTAAAGCCTACTATTACAACACGTCATTATAAAATTATATTCTAATTTTTTTTCTCAGAATTCTTTTTTGTAAAATTCAAATGTAGACATGCCCCAAATCTAACTTAACCCTTCGCTGTAGGAAATAATAAATTAGTAAGTATAGAATGTGAACGTATATGATGCATGACAATTAAAAATTAATAATAATAATAAATGGATGATGTTAACCAATTTATAATAATATAAAAAAATTAATCAGTTAGTCACTAACCTTGCTCCTTCTCAACACATGAAAGATATCATCATGATGCCATAATCTGCTACGCTTGCTTGGATCTTTGGATTCTTGTTTGACAATTTCCTCCCCCATTTTTTGTAACAAATCATGCATTTCTATACTATTGCAACCACCTATAGTTATAAGAGACTTGTCAAAGAGATTGCGTACTCCTACTTTGCATTCAAAATCGGCATCATCAAGGATTTCTGTTACAAATTTTTCTTCAGCTCCTGCAAAAAAGCATGCAATATCTAGAAATATAGTCTTCTCTTGACGATCAAGTCCATCATAACTTATTTTCAACACATCTTGGATCATTGGATTTGGATTTCTTTCTAGGTTATACAATGTACTTTCCCAATTTATATTTGTCTTCTCAAATAGCGAAGAACCCAAAACTTTAAGTGCTAATGGAACACCTTTAGCAAATTCCATTACCCTTTTTAATAGGTCCTTGTAATCTGCACGGGGCTCATCCAGTCTAAATGCATAACGACTAAAAAGTTTAAGAGCTTCATCAGATGGTAATCCCTTAACCTCATACATGTTATCACTACTCACTCCACAAATTTTAAGCACTTGTTTATCCCTTGCTGTCACAATGATTCGACTTCCACAACCAAAACATTCAAGATGTCCGATTAACTTTTCTATTTGCTCTAAACATGGCACCTCATCAAAAACAATGAGAATTTTCTTATTGCGAAACCTACTTATGGTGAAGGTGGGCTCCGAAACAGCCCATCTGTCCTTTACTATTGCAGGAATAAGTTTTTTACCCGAATGATTCAATCCAACTCTTTCCGACTCTTCCCTGACATTACCTTGAAAGTAGACAATTTCAAATTGACTTGAGATTCTGCTGAATACTGCACGAGCAAGAGTTGTCTTGCCTATACCACTTACTCCCCAAATCCCAACACTTCTGGAAACATCTTTTAACTTAAGACGTACTAGCAATTCAAGTTCCTGTATTTTTGATTCTATCCCAACGAAGTCCTTGTATTCACTTGGGGATACTTTATTCAGTTTTTCCAGTATTTCTTGGACAATATTCTCTATTAACTCAGCGTCAGACCTAGCAAAATAGAAACAACAATGCTTTTTTATTACACTATCTATGCTAAAAAAAGTGTTTGAATTAAGAGAAAACAACATAATGAATACATTCCATAACAGTTACTTAGCGTCAAACTAATAATCTTCCATCAGGCCTTGTGAAAGAACCATAACAAAGAGTAAAATTCATAGTTTCTTAAGTTATGATCGGTTAATCAGAATCTTTGGTATTTTCAATTACCTGGCCCTGTGCAAATTAAAACAAAATTTATACTTTTTCATTAATGATACATATTAATGATCTAAATACTAGGGATATTTTTTTGTCAGTTTTATATGTAATAAATTAATTTCCTTTCCCCAAATTAAAAAGAGAAGTCTTCATCCATTGAACAAACTTAAATATCGGCAAAAAGTAATTGTAATTGGGAAACTCAATTAACGTACAGTTACCTAATGTTACTTGAATCAAATCCGGAAAGATTAGCTGCTTCGTTCAAAGCATTCCTCCATCTCATCACCTTCTCTGACCTCTGCTCTTCTTCATGGTTCACAAATGCTTCTCCAAATGTCCCTTTTTGGTCTCTTACATGTGACGGATCTACTTGATAGAAAATTGGCACTACCGTCAGATCTCTCGCTTTCTTGCATTCAATGATCTTTACAAGTTCTTCAAGGCACCATCCAGAAGTGACATACCCTTTCGAGAAGACAATAACTGCGATCATTGATTCTCCGATCGCTTTAGAAAGTGGTTCTGAAATTTCATCTCCTCTTTCAATATCATAGCAATCAATGAAAGTATTGATTTTCTTCGAACACAGAGCAGCATAGAGATGGCTTATAAAGTTGTCACGTGTATCCTCACATGATATTTTTCAGAAATTCTCAAAGAAGCAGAAGATGATGAAGCCATTATCACGCTTCAGACTTGATGAAAGACTCCTTAAAGAAGAGAGTTTACAGAATGCTTATTTAGTTACTGAAAACTGATTTTAGAGAATGGTTACGTACTTATGTAATTACAAAATGATATGAGGTGGCACTTTACTTTTTTGACTTTTGACTTGAAAGGTTGGACCCGTGTCTCTTACAATATTATTAATAACTAAACCTATAATTAATTCATCTAGATCCCAAAATTTTCATAAAAATAAAAAAAGCAAAGAGTAAATGCTATGCATATTAAATTTATATAAAACAATTTATTTAATAATAATATGTTACACATTAATTTATTTTGACGTCTGCGCACGCAGAGAAGGTCTTTGTACCTTGTCAAAAGGGTTTTGTTTTGAATTTCTCTCCTTGTGAGAGTTCCTTCCTTTATATAGAAACTATCGGGTTAATTACAAAGCTGAAAATCAGCCATTACATCTGACTATGCAAGGTAAGTAGTTGACAGAAATAAACGCCTATCAATTATAGGCCTCTATGCAATATACTCTTCTATATATAGCTAGACTAAATAAGATAGAATATATGCTGTCTTAATAGACTAGGCCAACACATATCCAATTGTCAATTCTACTAACATCCCCCCTCAAATTGATGCTGGGCGATCAAGAAGCATCAATTTGTCAATCAGGAACTGATGGCGATGACGAGTGAGAGCCTTGGTGAAGACATCAGCGGTTTGGTGTTCAGTGGAAATGTGTGGAAGAGTAATCTCATAGCGAGCAAGGGCTTCACGAATGGAATGACAATTCACCTCAATATGTTTGGTGCGCTCATGAAAAAGGGGATTGGCAGCAATCTGAATAGCACTTGTATTATCAGCATGAAGAGGAGTATGAGTAAGCTGCAAAACACTAAGTTCGCCTAACAACCCTCGAAGCCATACAATTTCAAAACAGGCAGATGACATAGCCCGATATTTAGAGTCAGTGGATGATTTCGAGACACGAGCCCGCTTCTTACTCTTCCAAGAAATAAAGGCATCGCCAAGAAACATACACCAACCCATAACAAAACGACGAGTATCCAAACAACCAGCCTAGTCGGCATAACTAAAATCCTCCAACTTTAAAGAATTCCCTGAATAAAAAAACAAACCGCAACCAAATGTCCCTTTGAGGTATCGAAGAAGATGACGGACAACGGCCAAATGTGTCTGGCAAGGAGCCTGCATAAATTGACTGACCTATTGAACAGCAGATGAGATATCAGGTCAAGTAATGGTCAAATAATTCAAACTGCCCACCAGCTGCCGATACATCGAGGGATCAGATAAGAAATCACCACCTGCCTGATGCAGCTTCAAATTGACCTCCATAGGTGTAAGAACCGAATTACTGTCTTGAAGACCGGCTAAAGAAAGAAGGTTTTGGGTATACTTATGCTGATAAGAGCATGTCATTCGGACAATGTTGGACCTCAACTCCGAGAAAATACTGCAGTGGACCAAGATCTTTCGTATGAAACGAAGATGTGAAGTGCTGTTGGAGCTGCTCAATTAACTGGAAATCAGATCCACTAATCACAAGGTCATCGACATACACAAGAAGTATAACGATCCCAATAGCTGTTTTGCAAAAAAAAAAGAGAGGAATCATATTGACTCTTAAGTAAAATTGAAATCCAATAGAGTAGTACGAAACTTCTCAAACCATGCCTGCGGTGCTTACTTAAAACCATACAGAGACCGCTTCAAGTGACAAACCTCAACAGAAGAGGGAGGAAACAAGCCAGGAGGAGGTGACATAAATATTTCTTCCTTCAGATCACCATGTAAAAACGCACTCTTCACATCCATCTAACAAAGCGACCATCCTTTTGAAATAGCAATGGCCATAACAGTGCGGACAATAGTCATTTTGGCCACCGGAGTGAATGTTTCCTCATAATCAAGCCCATAGTCCTGTGATTCCTGAGTGCCACTAGACGAGCTTTATGTCTTTCGATATAGCCATCAACACGTAACTTGACGGTGTATACCCATTTGCACCTAATAAGCTTAACCCCAATAGGACAAAGGATGATGTCCTAAGTGTGATTGTCCTAAAGAGCCTGAAGTTTGTCCTGCATAGCTTGGCGCCAGCACTCTTGAGTAGAAGCCTAAGAATAAGACTTAGGCACAAAAGTAGTATCAAGAGTAGCCTGAAGAGCGGAAGAAGAAAACCCATACCAATTCGGAGGCCAAAAAACCCTAGTAGACCGATGTGGCTCATGCAAGACAAGATCAGGTGGCGGTTAAAAGCAAGAAGAGGCAGTGGGCAACGTCGCTGATACATAATACCTGGCTGAAAATGAGTAGGAGTACTAGACATATCATCAAAAGGAGGAAGCAAAATAGAGGAAGAAACAGGATTAGTATGAGACGGAAAGAAATATTGATTTTAAAAAAAAATCACATTTCAAGAAATGCGAAGCTTGTTAGCATATGCATCATAACACACAAACCCTTTATGAGAGTTACTATAGCCAAGAAAAGCACACTGAACAGCTTGAGCAGCAAGCTTGTGACGTTCAATGGGAGGTAAGTGAACAAAACAAATGCAACCAAAAACATGCAGAGAATTATAGTCAGTAGGAACACCAAACAAATGAGAATATGGAGAATCAAGATGCAAGGTAGGAGAAGGCAAATGATTAATCAAATATATAGCTGTAGATAATGCCTCTACCCAAAATCTAGGAGGGACAGAAGATTCAAGCATCAAGGTACGAACAACATCTAAAAGATGTCTATTCTTATGCTCGGCGACTCCATTTTGTTGAGGGGTGTAAGGACACGAATGCTGAGAGAGAATACCCTTTTGTTGTAGGAAAGATTGAAAATCATGAGATATATATTCTCCCCCGCAATCTGAGCTTAAGGTCTTAATACATGTAGAAAATTGTGTTTCTACATAGGCAACAAAAGTTTGGAAGGTTGAAAACACATCAGCTTTAGAACAAAGAAAATAGACCCAAGTGAAGCGACTATAATCATTAATAAATGTCACAAAATACCTGTATTGAGCATGAGAAAGAACATGACTCATACCCCAAACATCAGAATGAATAATCTCAAAGCATGTAGAAGCACAACTACTCTACAAAGGAAATGGTAAAGATTTGCTTTTACCAAGTTTACAAGGTGCACAATCAAAAGACAAGGAAGAAAGTGCATTTGTATTGCTCAAATAACCATGTTTCATAAGATGTGTCAAAATAACAGAACTGGGATGTCCCAATTTTTTATGCCAAAAATGGCTATTATTAGCAATAGCGGAATAACCAACAGAAATTGAACGAGGAACTGAAAATGACTAAAGAGGAAAAAGACGTCCAACTTTAGGCCCCTTTGCTATCTCCAGTCTCGACACTTGATCCTGCACACGACAACAACTACGAAGAGTACTGCCATCAGCGATCTGAATATGCTGCTCACCATCATACTTACGAACATCATGTAAAGCTGCCAGACTGCCAGTCATGTGATTGGAAGCCGTAGAGTCAATTAACCAAGGAGAAGGAAGAAGACGTTTCTTACTTTGGAGACCAAGAATAGAAAGAGCGAAAACAGTCATCTGTTGAACCTGCTCGGGAGTAAGGTTGGAAGAAGAACCCAGAACAGCAGGCTGAGTAAGAGATGCAGGCACAAAGGTGGATTGAACAGCAGTATGAAAGGCAGGAGCGAATCGATTCTGAGGGCGTACACGATAATCCTTAATGATATGGCCTTCCTTCTTGAAATAGTTGTAGAATTTCTTGCTACAATGTTTTGCAATGTGCCTAACTTCCTTGTAACTGTAACATTGCGGCAGAGATTTGTATCGTCCTTTGTCATGAGCAGCATAGGCCACATTAACCATCTCTGTACCAGTAGCGTCTTGAGCAATGCCAAGCTGTGAGGTGAGATGATGTTCTTCACGCAAGAGTTCACCCAAGCAGACATCCAAAGAAGGGACAGATGTACGATTGATTAACCCAGCACGTGCACTTTCAAAATTGGGTCGGAGCTTCATCAAAAATTGATCCCGCTGGCTCTTAGAATGAATCGCTTGTAGTGTTGCTAAAGCTTCTTTGGGAACCTTAGAATGCACCAACCTAGAATAATCACTCCATAAATTAAGAAAACCAGAATAAAATTGTTCAATCGAAAGGCTCCCCTGGCGATAGTTTCCGATGTCTAACTCCAATTGAAACTTTCGGGCAGAATTATCTTGATAATAAATCCATCGAAGGTAATCCCACATCTCCTTAATAGTAGTGAACCCACAAAGATTGTTGACCATATGGGGTTCAACAGAACTGAGTAGCCAGGAAGCAATTTTGGCATCCCTGCCTTCCCATAAACTAAGTTCCTTGGGATCAGTTGGAGCCGTAGAAGACCCATCCAAATGACCCCATAACTCCTTCCCTTTCACAAACATCCTGAACTGAAATTCCCAACTAGCGTAGTTCTTGCCATTAAAGCGAACAATATAATTTTCGCCTGACTAATAACCATTAGAAAAAAAATTGAAAGACCTGACAGATCATGATAGTCACAAAAACAGTATGATCAAGCAAAACTTCCCAACAATCCAAGACAAGAACGAGCTGTGCAGAAAAAAAAAATTCGCCAGCCCAACACTAGAATTGCAACAACCCAAACCACCCAAAAAAAATCCTCTGGAAAGCTAAGAGACTGCCGACAGAACCTATGAAGAGGTTTCCAACAATCCTGATGCTTAGAAAAAAAAAAAAAAAAAAACTCCACCAATAAACCAGGAATTCAGCCAAGCTGAAAGAAAAACATGAAAATAATTTGAGGCTCTGATACCATGTCAAAAAGGGTTTTGTTTTGAATGTCTCTCCTTGTCAGAGTTCCTTCCTTTATATAGAAACTATCAGGTTAATTACAAGGCTGAAAATCAGCCATTACATCTGACTATGCAAGGTAAGTAGTTGACAGAAATAAACGCCTATCAATTACAGGCCTATATACAATATACTCTTCTATATATAGCTAGACTAAATAAGGTAGAATATATGTTGTCTTAATAGACTAGGCCAGCACATATCCAACTATCAATTCTGCTAACACACCTCGTCTCCCCGCACCTCCCTCTCCCATCCTCCTGCACCCCCAGTCAACCTCACCAGCGTGCAAGTAAGCATGGTTTGTGTACTTGTTGACAATGAGGAAGGTGAGAAGATTCCGACCAACAATTTTTTTTTTTTCAGTTTTTTAATTCCTTTGATTTGGATGATTTTGTCGTGTGTTGATTTTGATAAGAGTGATGATGTTGTTTGTTGATTTGTGTGAGAAGATTGTCGTGAGAAAGCTGGGTTCCATTCCAACGATTTGGCCAGAATTGCAACCGAAATCAGAGGTGGCAAAGGGGGAAGTAGAATAAGAGAGAATTGTATTTTCGTCTTTATACTATTTATACTATGTCAGATAACGGATTTTTCTAAAGGAACATAACGGTGGGTGAGAACAGTCTCGTTTTGAAACTTGATGGGTGGGAAAGTGTAATGAGGCCAAACCTTGGGTGGGAAAAAGTCATTTACTCTCTATTGTTTATCCCATTTCCTGGAAGGTCCCTTGTGTAATGTAGAAAGAAGATTTAAAAATTGGATGGCGCTCTTATTGAGTTAAAGTTAGAAAGATGATTTGAAAATTGGATGGCACTCTTATTGACTTAAAGTCTTTTGATGAGAGAAAATTCCAAACAATAGATAGATTGGTAAAGTCTTTCATCCTCTTCCAGGAAGTTGCCTACTAATTACATGAAAAGAAAATCTCTTTCTCCGTTAATTGTTACCAGCTAAATTGAACTTCATTAACAATTTTATTAAATATTGATGTATCAAAAATTAACATGCATATATACACAAAGTAAATTAGGATTAAAAATAAAAACCAAAAATTTGATTAGAAAAAGGGGCTCACAATTACATGTTTCAGAAAAACAAAATAAAGATTAAGGATTTCAAAATTTAAAAAAAAAAAAAAAAAGATTAATGCTTATTTCAAGTGATTTCATCACAGGAAAAATGTCTTATATTGATGAGTCGGATCCACAATAAGATATAATTTTATCACAAAATGTCATATATACCAATGCATTACAACTTCACTCACCAAGGATTGAAAATCAATGCTCTTTGAGAGTGATATAGTATGGGCAGGAAATGACTACTATGCATCACCATTTTCTATCAGATCTCTTGCTAGAAATGGCCATATCAGCTCATGAAGAGTTGAAGACCATTTTTGGCCGTTTGTGCGTCGTTAGGTTGTCGGCGATTGACGATGGTTGCTGGCGGCAAGCAGTAACTAATTTATCCTAACCAAATATATTAATATAACATACCCACCAAATTATTTCAATAAACCAAACATATTTTTCTAAACATTCTCAGTAATTTTCAAGGTAATCTTTATTTCCATTAATATAACATTTTCAATAATACAATATTTCCTGAATTAAACGCCCCCCAAGAGTTAATATTGTATATCAATAATAAACTTGTAACATTAACCGATAAACTTTATAACATTAAATATCATTTTAATAATGACATTATAAATTTTAACGTAAATTGTGAAGTTGAATTAGGACAAGTTTTCATTTATGAAATTAGTTGTATTAATTCTCTATATAGAGTCTCTAATTAATTAGAAGCGTTTGGATCTTAACTAATCTACCATCATTTCTAATGTGACGATATCTTATTAATTATAGGATGATATCATTAGTAACAAATTTGTAAAATTAATTAATGATACGTTAATACGTTAATACCTTAGTAAGTACATAAATTCCTTTCTTATACACCGTATTAATTCACTATTAACATATTTTGATAGATAATTCACTTTAAAATAGAAATTTATTCATTTAAATTAAAACCATAATTCATAATAATAGAATATTTCTATATAAATCATTATTTAATTTAAATGGTTTATATAGAAATTCGAGATTAATTTTACCATAATTGTTAAAATACTAAAAATACAGCTAAGTAATGCAATTACACAATTCAACACGTGCATTATGTTAATAAAAAACCAGATACACCGTGTCCAAACGGTGGACGGTGAGATCCCCTGATTTCATTCTTAAAGCCTTGATGAAGATGATTGTTTGGATGATGAAGAGGAATTGGTGGTCGCGAAGAAGAAGAACAACAGTAGGAAGAATAAGAAGTTGGGTAGAAAAGGTTTGAGAAAAAAGGGTTCTGTTAGAGGTAGAAAAAGGAGAAAACGTACTGCCTCAGCAAAGCCTTTAGGAAAGAAAGGAAGAAGAACTCGTGGGTTGAGGAGGAAAGAAAGATGTGATGATGATTGTGATTTTCTTGATGATGCTCTGGTTGTGAGAGAAAAGCGCAAGACAAAATCAAGTCGACAAAGGCGAAAGTATGTTGTACCTTCAGATTCAGATTTTGTGTCTTCTGGGTCATCTGATTTTGATTATACAATCTCAGAGGAAGAGAGAGAACAAGTGAGAGAAGCCAATGAATTGTGTGGGTATCTGAAAACTAGTTTAAGGAGTTCAGTTTCCTCAAAGAAAACTGAGGAGGAAGATAATTTACAGCTGCAAAGAAAACCTCCTGCAAGAAAGGGTAAGGAGAAGATAGAAGTGGTGAAGAGTGAAGTGGCAAAGCAAGTTTGTGGTATATGTTTTTCTGAGGAAGATAAAAGAAGATTCAGGGGGACTCTGAACTGTTGCAGTCACTATTTCTGTTTCGCTTGCATCATGGAGTGGTCAAAAGTGGAATCACGTTGCCCTTTGTGCAAGCAGAGGTTCAAGACAATTACTAAGCCAGAAAGAGCAACAGCTGGTGTTGATTTGAGAAGTGTGGTGATTCAAGTACCCAAACGTGATCAAGTATGTTATTAGTTGCCCTCACTGTTCTTGTGCTTCTTGTTGTACTTCTTCTTTACTTTATTGTTTACTTCCCGTTTTGAAATGAGATTACTGCTTTACGCAGGTCTATCAACCATCTGAGGAAGACCTCAGGAGTTATCTTGACCCCTATGAGAATGTTATTTGTTCTGAATGCTACCAAGGTGGGGATGATGGCCTTATGTTACTGTGTGATATCTGTGATTCATCAGCACACACCTATTGTGTTGGCCTTGGGCGGGTTGTACCGGATGGCAATTGGTACTGTGACGGCTGTAGACCTGTTGCTCCTGGATCTTCTAGTTCTCCAGCTCAAGATCCTTTACCTGATCAAAGGGCCACAAACAACTTGTTTAATAGACCATCACCCATCTTAGTTTTTGGGGAAAGTTTAGACCCTCCTTCATTGTCGTCACCTCGTATAAGCCTAACTCAAGGTTCTGTAAGTCTTTCATCACCTAGACTTAGTGTTGGAGATGTTCAGGCAGCTTCTCCAGGATCTGGAGCAGGGGCACCAACCTTCTCTGGGAGACGCTGGATACACTGTCAGACACAAAATCTCCTTTCTATTAATAGAATGAATTATATGGCTGGTAGTGCTGATGGTATGTCAAACCCCAATTTGAGTAGTGACATTTTGAACTCTCAGATAGATCAGGGCAGGGAAACAGTAGTTCAACCAGCAAGTGCTCAAGGAAGTACGGAGCTACTGCATCAGACAATCATTGAGGAGAGATTACACGAGTTTTCTCCTTCTTCAGTAGAAAATAGTGAAATTTTTGCTCCAAGATTAAGCCATTTGAGAAGGCAAGCGGTTCAGGATCCAACTATGGCTACCATGAATGGGCTTGCCAATTTAACATTGTGGCCTGAACGTGCTGGGATCAATTTAATACCATCCTATGAGCAATTCCGACAGTGCGGCAGTATATCAAATCTTGGGTCTGATGGTGGTTTGTCTCCTTTTGCAGCTAGAGATGAGGGTGATTTTTATGTAGCAAAGGAACAGTTGCAATCAATTGTCAAAAACCATTTGAAAAACTTGTCCAGAGATATTGAACTTGGTATGAATTCTCATTTCTTTTCGACTTCATACAGCAAGTGTTTCATACACCATTTCAGTTCCAGAAAACAAAAATATCCTTTATGCATGCTTACATTTTAACATGGGTATGGATTTAGGATTAGGTTCACTTGAATGAATTTTGATCTACCATGCTTTTGATAATTGTCAAATGAGCCCTTTTTTTTTTTATGCAGACCACAGTATATTCAAGGACATCGCAAGAAGTTCTACACACACCATTTTAGCCGCTTGTGGTCTTGAACACAGTAGGAGTGAGGTTCACCTTGTGCAGCCACCATCAATTTGTTCTCATGTAGAAAGATTGGCAGCTGGACAGATTAGTTTGATGAAAGGTTTCTGCTCTTCTTGCTTTGATACTTTTGTACAAGATGTAGTGAAGAGAATCATGGACACAAGGATGCCGCAATGGTTAAGTTTAGGTCTTTAGGATTGATGCAGAGAGCTTCTCTCTCTGCTTATGTCTTTTTGATAGGAGATTGGACAAAATTTATTGTCACTTGTTTAGTTAGTAATCATCTGCTGAAACGGTGGCGTTTTGATCTTTGAACTGCCGTAGACTGAACGGATTTTGATAGTTTTTAAAATAATATTTTGGAAAAAGTTAAATTGGGCAGGTATTACGTAGGATTTGTAAATTAACAAAAATACCCTTTTATATTTTTTTATTTACTAAACACCTATATAATAAAATATTAAAAGTTAACAAAAACACTCTCAACCCACTCATTAAATACGGACAGTCAGAATCTGGTAAAATTGGGTTGTTGGGGTGTTTTTACAATTTCTAAAAAAAATATTTGAGGGTATTTAGTTAAATTAATAAATTTAAGGGGGTCTAAAAGAAACTAAATAATATAAAATAATATTTTAAGAATAAGTCATTTTTATTGTTTAATTTTATTGGGAATACTAATAATAGTGGTCATGTTTGGTTATTATTTTTATTCCTATTCTCAATCCTATTCTCCAAATAATGTTTGGCACATTATTCCAGAAATATTACCCTATTTTTTTAATTACTTTTAGACCCCATAAGGTTATTAATTTCATAAAATACACCTTGAAAAAAAAGTTTAAAAATTATCAAAAACACCCCATAAGGTTATTTTTATCTCTATTCCCAATCCTATTCTCCAAATAATGTTTGGCACATTATTCCAAAAATATTACCCTATTTTTTTAATTACTTTTAGACCCCATAAGGTTATTAATTTCATAAAATACGCCCTGAAAAAAAGTTTAAAAATTATCAAAAACACCCCCGCAACCCATACTTGCCAGATTCCAGCAACCACCATCGGTGGTAGCCGGAATCTGTACAACGGCCTACCTGCCGACCATAAATGGCCGGAATTTCAGTGATCTGGCTGGAAAAGGCTAGAAATGGCCGTCGTTGAGGTCAACGACAGCCAAATCTTGGCCATCATTGACCGAAAACGACGGCCATATCTTTGGCCGTCGTTTTGGCCTTTTCCGGTCGTCGACGGCCACGGCAGGCCGTAGATCTGGTCTTTTCCGGCCAGATTCATGGTGGATCTGGCCGAAAAAGGCCATAACGACCCGTTACGACACAGATTCGATCGGTCAAAGTTGTAACGCGATTTTCTGGCGTGATTCTGGCGATGGTGGCCGGAATCTGGCACTGCAGGTGGTGGGGGTATTTTTGTCATTTTACATGTTGGGGTATTTATTAAATTAGCAAACTTAAGGGGTTTTTTTATAAATTTTAAATTTTACCTCGTAATACTCCCATATTCAATTATCCAATACTATCACCAAAATCCTATCCAAAATAATAAATCAAACGCACCCAGTATTTTTAAAAGTGAACCAAATGGACCTTGAAGGCTCCGTTTGGTACATAGTTTGGGAAAACTAGAGTTTTCCCAATAAAGTTAAACAAAAAATTTGTGTTTGGTTCACTTATTCTCAAAATATAATTCTAAATTATTTAATTTCTTTTAAACCTCTTAAATATGTTAATCTCCAATTTTTTTTTAAAAAAAAAAAATTGATAAAAACACCCCAACAACCCACATTTACCAGATTTCTGCCACCACTGTCGGAAGTTGGCCGGAATCTGATGTAATGGCGCACTACCAGCTGAATCTGACCGGTAGTGTGTCGATTTAGCATTTTCTGACCAAATCTATGGTGAATCTGGTTGAAAAATGTCAGATCTATGGCCAAAGATTTGGCCGTCAACGACAGCTAAGATATGGTCGTCGTTGACCATCAACGATGGCCGTATCTTTGATCGTCGTTAATGACCAAATGCAACTAGATCCTTCGAGATGATTTATAAATGTTCATCCCATTTCCTTGAAAGTTGTTAAAGTTTTTTCACATGCTAAAGTCTTATTTCAAGTGATTGGGAAAGTCTTTGTTTCACAAAGTCTTTTCATACACAAAAGTATTTTCGTCCACGACATTTGAATTGACAAAGGAAAGAATCAAAATTACAAAGATAAAAAAAATTTTTGCAGATTTCCACAAGATCTTTTTCAAAGCCAAGATACAAAGAAGATGATACGGTTAAAGAATCAAATGAGTAACCAAGTTGATAATGGTATAAAATTGCTTCTTCTCCTAGTGCTTTTAGGTACTAAAGATTTAAGGATTCTCTCATGATTTGGGCTTTTCCTGCGTCAAGAAGATTTAAGAACGTTGTAATACAATATGCATTTTTACTTTTTTATACTTTAGATCTATTTATTTATTATGTAACTATCAATAGCAAGTATTTATTTGTTTAGGTAAAAACTCAATTATTTATTTAGGTAAAAGCTTAGATGAGAATATCATGAACAGGGATACAATAATAAGGTCTTGTTGAGTGGGAGGATTACCCCCTCTTGTAAACCTTGAGCGTGCTTAGTCGGTATGGGACTCCAACAGAAAGGGAATAATTCGACATATCCAACTTTGTATCCAAGGGCTTGGATTGTGTATGAGGGTAATCTGACATTGAGAAATAGATATTCCTAAATTATTAAGGCCATCGCGACATTGAAACCATCCTATATTATCTGTAAGGAATTTAGGTGCGTAATTTTAATTTTTTCTATCAATTTAAATTAGTAACAACATTATTAAATAAGACTTAATTTTCAAGTATGTACATATACCTAAAAAATTATAATATTTTCCCCAAATAAGACATTTACATGTGGCTTGAAATTGGGCTCAAAGAGTCGTGTAAGCAAAAGTTTTGAATTTAATGTTAGTGATAAGACCTTTCAAATCACACTTTATATTACTTTTTAATTTGTATTTAACAGGGCAATTTTAGTAATTTAGATTTATCCCGGATGCTTTTCACATCCTGTACTCTATTTTTATTAGAGCAAAGGACATGTTCCCACTCAAGTAAAGCAAAATGGCAAGTTCTTAACCTAGTTTCATAAATTCTAAATTTTTACCTTTAAAGTAATCGTATTACCAATTTTAGATTTCGACACAATATAAAAAATGTTATTACAATATTACCTTTAATAAATAAATTAATAAATAATTTTTTACCCTCCAAATGAGTAGAATTATAAAATAACCCTACGTCTCAAATCTCTCTCCATTTGCTATGTTTATGAAAATCTCTATAGCACATGGAAACACCTGGAAAAGTGCAGGATAATGATAATTGAGTAAACAAAAGAAAAGGTTACAATAATTCATAAATTCTCCTGCATATATATATGCTATGTTTATGTCAACATAATTAATGAATGCATTTTTTGGGTAATTGGTATTACAACTATGCGGGAAAACCCCTAAGCGAAATGACCCTTGAAAAGAACAAGGGGAAACGCAAACAAAAGAAAACACAAAAATTGCGAGGATATACAATCCCTTACAAGAGAAACCATTTTCCAGGACATAAAAAACAGTCGAGGGTACCAAAAGGAAAAGCCTTGGCACATGACATCGCACAAGTGCAACCAAAGACAACAAAACAAAAGGACAAGAGCCTTCACATCAGTGGAAGTCTTAACTAAACAGCAGCTAGAGACGTCATGTACACTGCAGCAGACCAGCCAAAAGGAGAGCAACCACACATGGGCCAAAAAGGAGACAGCATCCAGACGGCAACAACACCTCTTCAGCATAAACAACACAGCAGCAGCATAAAAGGAGGGACTAAAGAGCACCTCAGCAGGAGCAAAAACACCCCCACAAAAGCCCAGCCAGACTTTAACACAGCCAAGGCACTTTGTCAGCACCTGGAAACCAGCAGCAGTCCCCATACGCCAAAGACTAGCATCACCAAAAACATCAGTAGGACAGTCCACCACCAAGTCCTGGACAGAAAAATCCAACCCCAATAACAACCTCCGCCTTCCCACTTCCAAAACCAACAAGCCCCCACACTTCCAAAACCAACAAGCCAATCTTCATCCAACAAACAAATAAAAACGGGTGGACCACACCTCAACATAAAAAGCTACTACAAACATCCATTAAGCCCAAAAAAGGGTAAAAAACAAGCAAAACAAGTTTTCAAATGACAAGAAGATGAAAGAACAAAAGAGAGATACAACACCATAAGCAAAAACATGCCCTCACACAAAGCATCCCATCCTATCCATTCTTTTACTCCCAAAAGTCCCACCCCTGAGACCCTCCTCACTCCGAAAGCAGTCTCTTTCCCCTTGGCAGATGAATTAATGAATGCATTACATACAAATAAATAGAGAAAAATCTTATACCTTAATAAAATTACGATGGAATTGACAAATATTACCTTTCACATGGTCTGAATTGCTGGAAGATGTTTAGGGCGAAAAACAAGGCCTGTAAATCAAAATCATTGTCAATATCATCATCATCAACACCAATTTCAGTATGCAGCTACTCAAGGTTGCATACCTTTCCTATCGTCCCATCAACTGACGAACCACCAGCGAAGAGAGGACTTTTTATGCATACACAGGGAATATATAGTTTCTTCCCACCATCCCAAATCTATAAACAAGATGAGACTCAGCGTTTGCTTAACAAAATTGCTCGATGTCTCTATATGAAATATTAATTTTGTTAGGGCCATGCCTTAATAGTTCCATCAGAATGGCTGCCAAGAAGACGACCTTTTAATTGAAGTAGATACAAAATTCACCATTTGTGGATGAATCCAACCATCTTCAAGCAATGCCTAATTGGCAACAACCTAAAACCGCAAATTAATGCTCCCTCATCATCAACCATCTTTAAACAAATCAAATAAATCAGTAAACACAACTTCTTCATGGCGGTTCTGGTGAGACCATCTTCAAACAAATCAAATAAATCAGCAAAGAGCATAAATGTAGCAAAACCTCACAACATCCCCTTGCAGTTCTAGCGAGACGGGGCGGCGAGGCGTGGCATCGTCGAAACCAGGGTTAGAGTTAGCTGAGTCATGACGGCGTTTGCTGAGTAGTCAAAAACAGGCGTGGCCGCGTCTGCCGTGTCAGACAAGAAAACCAGGTTCGGGTTGTTTTGGTGAGGCGTGGAGAACAACTGGTTTTGGCGTGCAACGATGTTGAGCTGCGACTGAAACAATTTCAAAATGGGTTTTAGCAATTCTTTTTTTTGTTTTTTGGTTTTTTTTTGGGGGGGGGTTGAGGAGGGAACTGACTAACGGTGTTCAAAAAAAATATAAAAATCGAACCAAACCGGTAAACGAATCAAAAAAATGGTTCAGTTGCAATTTAAAAAATTAAAAAATCCAGATTTTCGATTCGAAAAAAATAAAAAATGGTTAATCGAAACCGGTTTTTTGAATCAGTTTTTTTAAATATATATATTATATATTAAATAAAAAAAATATATATTATATATTAAATAAAAAAATCAGTTTATTTCGAACTTTTATTTGTATAAATTTTTAATGTATTGTTACTTGTTAGTAGTGGTCAATGGATATGTATGAATGTTTAATTTTTATTTGGATATGTATTGTTTATATTTATAATTTAATTTAGGAAACAATTTAAAAAAAGTTTTATTAAAAAAAGGAAAAAACAGTTTTTCCTCCAAACCGGTTTGGTTTTGGTTCGGGAATTTTCTCAAATCAAAAAGCCGGTTCGGTTCAGTTCAGTTCAGAAAAATAGTTAACCGGTTCGATTAAACGCTTTTGAACACCCTTAGAACTGACGTGGTAAGGTTGTGACGTAGCTCAATCGGTACAAGGGTGTTAGTGAGAGTGTTAATTGATGTAGTATTACTCCTAATTATATTGTATTTGCATCTAGTACACATAAGTTTTTTTTCCTGCTAAGTATAGTTAAATAATCTAGTTTAATTATGTAAATCATGAATATAAAGCTCTTAGAAACCCCTTTTTTGTGTCTAATGACTTGTCAAAATTATTTTGTCCAATAAACTTTAGTGTTCCTCCAAATCTAGTGTGGATGTAAACACAAAAATAAAGGTAACTAGTAACCATGTCCGTCTTTACAAGGTAAAGATTCTATTTTATCAAGAGGATAAACCCTATCTTTTAATTTGCATTATATAATTAAACAATAAAAATGGTCCTAAAATTTGGCTTTGATGTAAACTATGGGCTACAAGTTAGCCTACAACTTGGAATTGGGTTAGAAAAGTCTTCTAATTTTGATTGTTACACAAGGTGTATGTTGGGTCAGCTTACGCACACCTCGATTAATCATCGGGGAAGACTAGCGCAACAACCTATTGCCACGGTTCACCCACTTAAATCACGGATACTTTGATGGAGAATCAAACCTAAGACCGTACGTCTATCCACACTATCCCCAATTCACCTTAATCATTTGGACTACCACAGATGGGTAAGCCACGAAAAATCAAAACAAATTCGTAATTACAAAACTGGTAATTTAGAAAATAAGGTTTTTATCTCTGCTAACAAGTAATAACTATATTTTCTGATTGGATGATTAACGTTTGATTTATCGATTTATATCTTTGAAATCAAGTTACTCGAAAAGGTTAAAGATTTTCTAAGGCATTGGTGACATTCTATTTGCAATTTTTAATAGTTTAAGGAAAAGTGATTGTGAAATTGCTTTGTTAATGTTGACTACTTCTCTTTCAATCTCCTAAAAATATAACCATTTTTAACTACCTCAAAGAAATTGGTTGGTGTTGAGCTACTTTTCTTGTTAGCTAACTTCTTAAAAATAAAATGTCTTATCAGCTCTTACTAAACGTTTTTGTCTCTACTTTCGTACTTGGATTTACAAAGTAAGTTTTGGAGATTTATGGATTATAACCCATTCATCGGTAGTCCATATGATTACAGTGAATTAGGGATAGTGTAAATAATCATACAGTCTGAAGTTCAATTTTCCATCTGAGCATCGGCGATTTAAGTAAGAGACCGTGACAGTGGGTTACTACGCTAGTCTTCTTCGAGTATTAATCGAAGTGCGTGTAAGTTGACTTTGATACTTCGGTTATAAAAGAGAAAAAAATTATGGATGGATTAAAATTTTATAAGCATCAATTTGGTCATCTTCTAGCGTAGAAAATGTTTTAGTATATAGTTTGGACTCTCAACTAGATGCCTACACATTGTTTTGTTCGTTTCAAACAAAGCCCATAAGGGGCGTTTGGTTGAGGGGGTTATATAGGATTACTGAGGTTATATCATCTTATATTACTTAATTATCACATTGGGTTATCAAGTAAAATAAAATTCCGGTAATCTTTCAATATTAATAGTAGTTAATGTCGGTAATATAAGAGGTAATCTAATTACTTCAATTTTCTTAGGTATTTTAAGATTATCAAGGTAATCTTATTTTTGTTATAATTTTATCTCTTATTAATAAAATTTTAAGACAATAATACACTTATGTCTAAATTAATTTACATGAATCTAGCTTTTACAATTACAACCCAATTAATTAACTTTTTTGAAAAATTATCCTTGAATTCAAAACAAATTGCAGCCCACCTAAGCCACCACCCCCACCCACCTATCACCAGCAACCACCACCGGCGGCCAGTCACCTCCACCAGAACAGCACACGGACGACCGAAAATGGCTTTTGTGCACCGATCTGGCCATTTCTTGCCAGATCTTTGGCTAGAAATGGCTATATCGGCTCACGGAGGACATTTTGGCCGTTTGTGCATCATTAGGTTATCGGCAACTGGCACTGGTTGCCAGCAGCAGGCAGTGGCTAGGTTGGTGAGGGTGCATTGTGATTTTTAAACTTTTATTATGGGGTTGTTTTTGTTAAGTTAGGGGGTTATATTGATAATCTAAAATAATAATTCAATAATAACATTTAATTAAAAGACAATTCAGTAATTTAAATAACATACCCACTAATCTATTTATCCTAACTAACATATAAATAACATACCACCAATTTATTCCAACAAACTAACCATTTTTTCTAAACATTCACAGTAATCTTCAAGGTAATCTTTATTTCTATTAATATATCATTTACAGTAATACAATATTTCTTGAACTAAACGTCCCTCAGAGTCAATATTATATCAGCAATAAACTTGTAATCAAATGATAAACTTATAGTATTAAAATCATTTTAATAAGCTATTATAAATTTTAACGTAAAATTGTGAAGTGAATTAGGGCAAGTTTTCATTATGAAATTAGTTGTATTGACTCTCCATATACAGTCTCTATAAATTATAAGCGTTGGATCTTAACTGATCTACCATAATTTCTAATGTGACGATATCTTATATTCAATATTAACCTTTTGATGTAGGATAATCACTTAAAATGGAAATTATTCATTTAAATTAACACCAAATTCATAAAATAAAATATTTCTATATAAATCATCATTAATTTAAATGGTTTATATAGAAATTCGAGATTAATTTTAAAATTAACACATAATTATTAAAAAACTAAATACAGCTAAGTAATGCAATTATACAATTCAACACGTGCATTATGTTAATCAAAATCTAGATACACCGTATCAAAACGGTGGGCGGTGAGATACTGAGATCCCCTGATTTCATTTAAATATAAATTAATCCGGCCATCCTTCTACCGTCACGTGTCCTTCAAGCACGATCCCCCACCATCAACATGCATGTTCAATCCATCATGCTTGCGTGCGTGCGTACTTCGCTACTTAAAAATCCAACGGTCTAATTACATGATCAGATCGTCGAGATAAACAGTCAGGATGTTTATACGTTAGCCTAGGCTGTATCCAGTTTACATTATCGGGAAGCGTTAGTTAATTAACTGCTTTTACATGGCAAAAGGGTATGTTAGTAACTTCCATGTGTTGGGACGCGGACATGAATGACCAGTGACCAAACATGCCTAAATTGTTCACCCTCGAGTTGACTATCCGGTTTCTCAAAACTAATCACAATTATTAAACTAATATTTTTAATTATAAAGTAACTACGAAAAATGTCAGCACTTTACAAGTGTTAATGATCGTCTTATTGTAAAAAATCTTCGATCAATTTTATATATTTAACGTTATAAATCCTGATCGAACGTTTTTTAAATATACTTAAATTTGAGTTTAAACGATTCAAATATTATCGTTAACAATTTAAGATAATTTTATATAGCAAATACGAAAGATTAAGTTAAAAAAAAAAAAAAAAAAAACTAAAATTGTAACTTAATTGATATATAGCTGTTTAATTATTATTGTGTTGGAGTATGGGTTTTATAATAAACTATTGGGTTTGGCTTTTTGTAAAAACTCTGTTGGTTTCGAAAACGCGACTCGAATCCTTCTTTTTCTTAGTGAGCACTCGCTAGTTTTAGAATACGACTCTTGATTTTTATTTTTATAGACTGTTAGGTTATTTTGTTTAAATTTGAAGAAAATGATGTTTTTATTATTCACCCAATTCAATCAAATCTGACATTCAAAACCTGTCAACAATGTTGAGGGTTATAATAATTTTTTGGAGGTTAAATTGATGAAACTGTTGATAAATGGAGGTTGAATTAACGATATTTTCGAAGCTTGAGCTCAAACTCAAACTGACTCGTTGTAACCAAGTCAAAATCAAGTTCGAACTCAATTCAAAATCTTAACTATTAATTATTTAAATATTTATAAATATTATATAATATATCAAGTTTGAGTTAGCTTGCAAAGGCTCAAAGTCGAGCATATTAGGCTCTAACTTGGCTCGACTCAACATGCGAACTACTTGAGCTCAAGCCCGAGCAACTCGCGAGTGGCTCAATTCATTTGAGGCCTTGTGCTCTTTACCAAAAGTCGAACACACTGGGATCTTATTATTAAAAAAAAAAAAAAAAAAAAAAACTCAATAATCTATAATTGGGCTTTGTATTCGGATTCTAAACCTAATTTTGGTAAAACTAAGCTTGTGAGCTCTATGAATAAAATTTCTATGCAATAAGGTCAAGTGTGAAATTATAGGTAATATATACTTACAACCAATTTATTAAACTTTCTTCACAAAATTTATATGCAATAGCGATCAATTATTTAAACTAATATTTTTAATTATAAAGTAACTACGAAAAATGTTGGTCGTCACTTTACAAGTGTGATAATCGTCTTATTGTAAAAATTCTTCGATCAATTTTATGTTATTTGACATTACAAATCCTAATCAAACGTATTCTAAAATATACTTAAATTGCGATGTTTAAATGATTCAAATATTTATTGTTAACAATTTAAAAAATTATATAGCAATATGAAGGATAAGTTAAAAAAAAAAAAAAAAAAAGGGAAAATTGTAACTTAATTGATATATACAAAGGTTTAATATATATTGTATGTGAGTATAATATAGGGTTTTATAATAAACCACCGTGTGTTTGACTATTTATAGTAAACATCAGTCGGTTTTGAAAACGCGACTCGAATCCTCTTTTTTTTTTTTTAGTGATAACTCGCTAGTTTTAGAAATCAACTGTTGACTTTAATTTGACAAACTATTAGGTTATTCATTAAATTTGAAGAAAAGACATTTTGTTATTCAATCAAATCTAACATTCAAAACCTGTCAACAATGTTGAGAGTTTAATATATTTTTTGGAGGTAAATTGATAACAGTTGATAAATTTGAATGTTGAATTGATGAATTTTCGAAACTTGAGCTTGAGCTCAAACTCGAGTTGACTCGATATGTGAACTACTCGAGCTCAAACTCGAGCAGCTCGTGAGCGACTCAATTCATTTGCAGGCCTTGTGCTCCTTACCAAAAAGTCGAACACAGTGGAATCTTTATAAAAAAAAAAAAAAAGCCAATAATCTAATAATTGGGCTTTTTATCTGGGCTCTAACCCTAATTTTGGTATAAACTAAGCTTGTGAGCTCTATGGAAAAAATTTAGACAATAAGGTCAAATGTGAAATTATAGGGTAATATTACACTTATAATCAATTTTATAGACTTTATCTCACATACCGATGTGGTAGTTTACAATTGATCAACTCGTAAATAAATCATATCTATCTAATTACGAACTATCATGTCGGGATTAAGATAAAGTTTGTAAAATTGTGTTGCAAGTAAGAAATTATATTTGTTTAAACAATGAAGTGTTAGTTATTATTGAGCCCCACGATAAGAATACTAGAGCCACCGTGTCGAATCCCAGCCCCAAGTCAAAAGTGAAAATAGAAAATATCAAAAAGGATAAGGGAATTCCCGTAATTGCACAGAAATGATCGGCGGAGTTGTCTACGCCATAGATATCATTAATCGGTAATAATCGTTTAATTGAATAAAATAAATAAAATGAAACGCCCAACAACTGAAATAAGAAAATCAATTTCCGAAAACAGCAAGCGTTCTCTCTGTTCACTGCTTTTCTTTTCTTCCTCCTCACAGGTAACATAACCACCTTCTCCTCTTGCTTTCTATCTCTACAGTTATATTATTATTTTTATAATTAAAAAATTATTATTAGTTTTAGGTATTTGGAGTGTTTTGTGTTTCTGGAAACTTTGTTTTTGTAACAGATATTTAATAAAATTTGACTTTCAATTAATGAAAATCTTTTGTGGGTTTGGTTTGTGTTATTAATTTATATCTGGGTTTTTTGTTTTTAATAACGTTTTTATTTTTGTGATCTGGTGTTGATTGTGTTGCCTAATTGAGAGGAAGCAAAGCAGAAACAGGAGGGAATTTAATTTCGAGAATCTGGGGATTTATTATGATGGGTTGTGATCTGATTTGATGTATTGAAAGTGGGTTAGTTATGGGATGTTATGTATGAGTTGTTGATATTTTTGGTTGAGTTTTGGGCTTTGATTTTGGTTGCTCTCGGTCTTTGATTTTGTTTATTTATTTGTTTATTTTGTTGGTTTGGTGGGTGGAAGCGCAGATGGGAAGGGGAGGAGGGTTAATTCTAGGGAGATGTGAAGAGAAGGGTTAGGTCAAAAGATAAGGGTTTGATGATTTTGATGAGGATTATGTGGTTTAGAGAAGGGAATGATGTATCTGAGGATGAATTGGAAGATTATTGTCTCCATAGATGGATGTGCGTCGAAGGAGAGTTTCGGTGGTTTTGTGGAAGAGGAGGAGGAGGAGGAGGAAGTAGAAGAAGAGAAGGAGGAGGAGGTATGGATCGAAAGCGGGAAAGAGTAATTTAGGAAACGGGGCTAAACATCACGAAAGAGGAAAAGGATTTTGTATGGAGATGAAGAAGATGAGGATTATGAAGGAGAGGAGGAGGAAGAGGAGGATGAGAGTTTACCCTTGATGAAGATGATTGTTTGGATGATGAAGAGGAATTGGTGGCACGAAGAAGAAGAACAACAGTAGGAAGAATAAGAAGTTAGGTAGAAAAGGTTTGAGAAAAAAGGGTTCTGTTAGAGGTCGAAAAAGGAGAAAAAGTACTGCCTCAGCAAACCTTTAGGAAAGAAAGGAAGAAGACTCGTGGGTTGAGGAGGAAAGAAAGGTGATGATGATGAAGATTGTGATTTTCTTGATGATGCTCTAGTTGTGAGAGAAAAGAGCAAGACAAAATCAAGTCGGCAAAGGAGAAGGTACGTTGTACCTTCAGATTCAGATTTTGTGTTTCTGGGTCATCTGATTGTGATTATACAATCTCGAGGAAGAGAGAGAACAAGTGAGAGAAGCCAATGAATTGTGTGGGTATCTGAAACCTAGTTTAAGGGTTCAGTTTCCTCAAAGAAAATTGAGGAGGAAGATAATTTACAGCTGCAAAGAAAACCTCCTGCAAGAAAGGGTAAGGAGAAGATAGAAGTAGTGAACAGTGAAGTGGCAAAGCAAGTATGTGGTATATGTTTTTCTGAGGAAGATAAAGAAGATTCAGGGGGACTCTGAACTGTTGCAGTCACTATTTCTGTTTCGCTTGCATCATGGAGTGGTCAAAAGTGGAATCACGTTGCCCTTTGGTGAAGCAGAGGTTCAAGAAAATTACTAAGCCAGAAAGAGCAACAGCTGGTGTTGATTTGAGAAGTGTGGTGATTCAAGTACCCAAACGATCAAGTATGTTATTAGTTGCCTCACTGTTCTTGTGTTTCTCGTTATACTTCTTTTTACTTTATTGTTTACTTCCCGTTTTGAAATGAGATTACTGCTTTACACAGGTCTAATACCATCTGAGGAAGACCTCAGGAGTTATCTTGACCCCTATGAGAATGTTATGTGTTCTGATGCCACCAGGTGGGAGATGGGCCTTATGTTACTGTGTGATATCTGTGTCATCAGCACACACCTATTGTGTTGGCCTTGGGCGGGTTGTACCGGATGGCATTGGTACTGTGACGGCTGTAGACCTGTGCTTCTGGATCTTCTAGTTTCTCCAGCTCAAGATCCTTTACCTGATCAAAGGGCCACAAACAACTTGTTTAATAGACCATCACCCATCTTAAGTTTGGGGAAAGTTTAGACCCTCCTTCATTGTCTTCACCTCGTATAAGCCTAACTCAGGGTTCTGTAAATCTTTCATCACCTAGAGTTAATGTTGGAGATGTTCAGGCAGCTTCTCCAGGATCTGGAGCAGGGGCACCAACCCCTCTGGGAGACGCTGGATACACGTCAGATACAAAATCTCCTTTCTATTAATAGAATGAATTATATGGCTGGCAGTGCTGATGGTATGTCAACCCCAATTTGAGTAGTGACATTTTGAACTCTCAATAGATCAGGGCAGGGAAACAGTAGTTCAACCAGCAAGTGCTCAAGGAAATACGGAGCAACTGCATCAGACAATGTTGAGGAGAGATTAGATGAGTATCCCCCTTCTTCAGTAGAAAATAGTGAAATTTTTGCTCCAAGATTAAGCGATTTGAGAAGGCAAGCGGTTCAGGATCCAACTATGACTAACATGAATGGGCCTGCCAATTTAACATTGTGGCCTGAACTTGTGGGATCAATTTAATACCATCTATGAGCAATTCCGACAGTGCGGCAGTATATCAAATCTTGGGTCTGATGGTGGTTTGTCTCCTTTTGCAGCTAGAGATGAGGGTGATTTTTATGTAGCTAAGGAACAGTTGCAATCAATTGTCAAAAGCCATTGAAAAACTTGTCCAGGATATTGAACTTGGTATGAATTTCATTTTTTCGACTTCATTCAGCCAGTGTTTGTACACCTTCAGTTCCAGAAAACAAAATATCCTTTATGCATGCTTATTTTTAACATGGGTATGGATTTAGGATTAGGTTCAATTGAATGAATTTTGTCTACAGCTTTTGATAATTGTCAAATGAGCCCTTTTTTTTTAAAGCAGACCACAGTTATCAAGGACATCGCAAGAAGTTCTACACACACCATTTTAGCCGCTTGTGGTTTGAACACAGGAGAGTGAGGTTCACCTTGTGCATCCACCATCAATTTGTTCTCATGTAGAAAGATTGGCAGCGGACAGACTAGTTTGATGAAAGGTTTCTGTCTTCTTGCTTTGATCTTTTGTAAAAGATGTAGTGAAGAGAATCATGGACACAAGGATGCCGCATGGTTAAGTTTAGGTCTTTAGGATTGATGCAGAGAGCTTCTCTCTCTGCTTATGTCTTTTTGATAGGAGATAGACAAAATTTATTGTAACTGTTTATAGCGATAATTAACTGAGTACATTGAGCACCAAAAAGTGTATTCTTGTTGGTCATTGTATTAGTCATTGTTTAGACTGGACAAGTCAAACTATTTTTATACTCACCAATTTTTCTGTGCTGTATATATCTTTCCAATGAATAGGATCAGATATTGAACTACCATCTTTTGATGATCATAGGTATGATTATTTATTGGACAATATTATTTATAACAATCCCCAACTTAATGAAGTGACACTGAAATATCATTTATTTGGGAATAACCATCACAGAATCCCCTTCTTCCTTGATAAATACATTATCTTAATTGGTTGACCAAATATCATCAAGGGCAAAATACACTTTGTGAGATGTTGGTGGTGGTTTTTTTTTTCTGAGTTGTGGTATATATCATATATGTCTTTATCAAGCTACTGTAAACACCAATTCTTGTTGATGGATAGAGAGTAAAGTTGACAAGCCGGTGAGGCAGTTTATAAAATTTTTTATATCGGACTCGAGCCTTAGTTTGTAAAGTTTAATTCTCTTAAACCAAATAGAGGCTTTTGGAATGAAAGACGTTTGCATAATGTCTAAAATTCCGTGAAGACTTAGACCTAAATCGCACAATATTACATTGAACAATAATGTAAAAAAGAAAAGAAGAAAAAAAGAGAAAACTATTCAGCTTAGTCCAGGTCTCAGGATAGTGGGCATGCTTTTGTTTTACTTGTTGCCTGGGTCCATGGCTCTCCTTTGTCTCATTCTGAAATGTTGTAAGTTTCAGTGGTTACATTTAGTGGAAAGCAGACACTTTTCCCACTAATTATGTTAGTTGAATATTTTAGTCTTTTGGGTAAATCACAACCCACACTCTAAAATGGGTGATAATGAAGGTCTTGGTTTTGTTTTGCTGTGCTTTGAAGATTCTAAAAGGGGCAATATGACAGTTGTCTAAGTTATGCATTGCATAATGCTTTTAGAGATACTAAAATGGGCAATCATTATACCAGAAGAAAACAGACTAAATTAGCTGTCCATGGAAGGACTCTGATGGTAGTAAATTATTTTCTTTTTGCTCTTTCATTTTAAATTATATGATCCAAAGATTGAAAGCTGACATTAAAGTCTGTCAGGCCTAATAAGAAACATACTCTGGCAATATAGATTACACTCATTCTACTACACTTATTCGACACTCTGCGCTTAATACATGGCATATATTACTACAAACCATAGACTGCAGGAGCTTGTGGCTGCAAATTTCAAGTCCACTGTTGCTGCATCATCATCATCATCCACCATGGTTTATTCTTCATAAAATATCTCAAGAACGGTGGACAACAACAACCCTTGAACAAACTCAGACCTTTTCGCCTTCTTTCCCGATCCTTAAGGGAACAGGGTCGACTGGAATTTCTGTTACGGAAAACCAAAATATGAATAAGGAAGTGGGGAGAAAAAAAACATCGAACAAAATGATGATCCAAACATGGATATACGAAATGTCCTTAGGTGGAGTGAGTTATGAGCTACAAGATAAAAAAGTTCGTCAGTCTGGATTGTTTAGAGTAAGATATCAACAATTGGAGATAAAAGACCTAAGCATTGCTTCCCTCATAGCAACCTCCAACAGGATTATGAGATTGATTAATATTGTAAGAAATATGGCCAAAAAGGCATTCTCGTTCTTCACAGGTTTCAACTTCAGGTATTCAACGAAGCAATGTAGAGCACCGTAGAGTGAAAGGCTTATGAAGGCAAATGCTTTTTGCAGTATATACAAATTTGTCAATTTTTTGAGAATAAATTAAACTAGCTGGATACAGCAAAAAATTAAGGTATTTCTGGCGCCGATACAATGTCCTGAAGCTAGAAAGTAACTTTGTCCTCATAAACGTCCATAACAAGCCCCTTCAACTGATCTAACGCTTCTTTCAAAATTTCCAAATACTATTTTCTTCCTTTGCAATATTAAGAAACTAATGGAAAAGGTTGTTATGAGACTTCCACTCGTAAAACTACATAATTCCTTAAGCCTATATTCTAGCGAATTTTGCTAGAAAAGGAACTGGTCTTCTGAGGAAATAAAGATTAAGATCATGGTTCAAATTCCTTTATATAAAGAAGCAAGCAAATATTTAGAGGCAGCCAAGCCAGATACCATTACCACATAGGCAAATTTTCTAATGCATGGAAACATTACAGGGGGGAATGCATAAAAGTAGCTTACCGTTCTGAAACCTTCTCAATAGAGCTTTTCTTGGCTGAGCTGTTGCAGAAGATAAGTGAGACTGGACACTAACAGAATCATCAGACACAGGCAAGATGAATGAAGATAATAAAGGATCGCTGCTGCATTGGATGAGGAAACTATACAAGAAGAACCCCAAAAATGGAGTGTAGATTTCCCTCCCGCAGCTCTTCCTCAACAAAGAAAGTGTCGAATGAGATCCACCTTTACGTGTTTTCCTCTTGCGCTGCATGTAATCATGAATTAAGGAATTCACAGCTTATGCAAATCCACATCATACTCATGTTTTGAGAAGAAAGCCTTAAAAACTTTAAGTTAGTAACATTATACTAAAAGCCAAAAAGAAAAAAGTCTGCCTGGCAGATGACTTAAAGCTACTTGTACAGAATATCTTGAAGATGTAAAACGCTAGAGATCAAATAAGATGAAACAAATTCATATTATGGAAAGTCAATCAACTCTTACATATTAAAGGCATGAAAGTAAGCTTGAGAAATGCATGACAGATGCCAACAGTAAAATTGTGAGGACCTGCACAATGACAGACTATGAGGCATGACTTTCAGACCAAAGCTTGATGAGGGAAAAAATAACTTATATGCTCCAAAGGTTTCCCTCTTTTTTTTTTTTTTTCAAAAGATGAATAGCCAACTTGGTTTTGACAAACCATTAGCATGACATCATCCCAAAAAAATAATTTTGCAAAGTTATTTCTGAAGTTTTATGCATGTTGAATGCTTCAGCATATATCAGCAATTGAGCACAAAAATGATTAATGAGGCAATAATTCATAAATTCTTAAAACATACAAATGCATCAGGGAAAAAGGATATCTTAAATAATTTCCATGTTGTAGAGTTATGTGTGCAACATATCAACCCCCACCCTCATTGAACAAACTGGACAAACCTGAAATAAGAGCGCCCAATGTTAGTAATAAAGATTTAATAAGTACTTTTCCCAAATGGTGAATATGAATCCTATCCAAACATAATAAATAGATTCTGGAAAAGAAAAACCCAAACCTCCATTAGTCCAACACACAATAACCTTTTGGCTTCAGTCTTGTTATTTTTCTTGCTAATGAGATTTTTTTTCAGTCTCGCATAACGAAAATTCCCCTATAACCCGACCAATCGATCCTCCTACGGGTGAAGAACACCATCAATGCAAGTAAGTGCCTACAAGGGAAGTTAATTCCCATCTTCTAAATATAGAAGCCCTCCTCCCCAGCTAAGCACAATCGTTATTTGATATGAATTCATGTCCATTTGATGCTTTGGGTGTTACCTTTCCAGTGATGTCAATTCCCATGTGTTAAACCAAGTCATATAATCAAGGTTTCAAGTCTAACTAACATCAATCCATGACTATCAGGAGATGAAGAAAGCTGAAAATAAAGCTTACAGATTTTACTGATTATATCCCTCAACAGAAAAAGAAAGACCTTTGAAGCTGAATACAAAGCCTACAAATTATACTGACAGTATCCAACATGAGTTCAGATTTAGGCCACTCAAGTAGTCCAATACAAGGGATCCTGAAGACAGTTCCTGTTACCACTCTTATACAGCAGTTGGTTAAAATTTAAATATTTGTTGATTGAGACTAACGGGCAATAATGACTTTAAAAAATATATACAAACTAAATGTTTCTTAATATACACATCAAAGGAAATTAAGAAACAAAAAAAGTACACAACCATCATCAGTTTGAACTACATGCAAGACCTGAACAAGAATCTTATAAGAAATATCCAAATTTCTAATTTATAGTAACATACCCATTCTTTGCCTCACAGGATGCTCGTCATCAAGTGGCAACACAAGCCAACAATATCAAAAGTACTCTGAGCAAATGGGCATGGAAATTCCCCCTTAATCATCATCCCATCAATTTCTTAAATCCCATGAACATATCGCATTCACATGAGGTAGTTTCAATCAATGGAAAAATTGAAGTTCCCAAATATGAACTTATAGAACCTAAGGCATTTATTTGAGCCAGAAAGAAGAGGAAAAGAAACCAAAACAAATAAATGGATCAGCACTTTATATATATACGGGGGAGAAAAAAGAAAGAAAACTTGCTCCATGTTAAGCAAAGCATTTATATTGAGCTTGGCTGATTAAGGTTGTGTGAGATATTGTGGTCTAACCATTGTAGATCAAATATGAAATTGAAACAACCTCCTATTTGCTCCTCTTTACCCTCATTAAAAGACGAATTAAAAATTTCCAAAGGCTATGCGAAATAGGGTCTAGCATTTTAAATAATAACTTTTACATGATTGCAACAATGAGTCCCAAGCTCCCAATATTTATCTTCTCTCCTTTCCTTCATTTCTACAGCAACCAGAAACTACACTAATCTTGGTAAAAGCTTCCAATAGTTTCTTTCTCTTTCTATAGTTTATAAGCAACCAAGCAAATACTGTCAGCTTAGGTTCCACGCCCGCATCATTCACTCTTTCAATTACACTTTTCACTTTACACAAGCATCTATCATCCAAAACACATCTAATCACTTGAGGCAACCTGTAGCCCCTACAGTGAACGAACCCTCGCCTTGGCTAGCGCTGGGGGATGTCAAATAGACACCCCCACACCACAACAAATGTAATGATTCTCAATCATTTCTCAATTCTGGGTTCCTCTAAAAATAACTTCAACTCAACCAAACCACATAATTGAATACAATATCCCATAATTACAAAGAAACAGATAAAGAAAAAAACAAAGTTTAAAATTAAACTGTAAAAAAAAATCCCTACTTTTTAACATTACCCCTATTTCT